CATGATTTACTGTTGCCATTTAAGCTAATTTATTGCTCAGCACGGTGGTATGGGACATCCCTTTGGTCAGTTTGGGACAGCTGTCCTGGTTCTGTACACTCCCTGCTCCTCATTGGCAAGTCAATGTGAGAAGCTGAAATGTCCTTGGTTTAGTGCAAGCAATGATCTTCAACAACTAGAAGAGTTATCAACATTATTCTAAATCCAAATAGCAGCTACTAGGAAGAAAGTTAACTCTATCCCAGCTTTGAACAGGGTATTTCTGACAAAACTCAAACAACAAAACAGAAGAGGTGGAAAGAAGGCCACATGACCCAGGAAGATGTGAGACGCTGAGTGCAGGGATGAAGTTAGGAAAGCCAGAGCCCACCTGCGGTTCAACCTGGTAAGGAACACGAAGCCACTTCCAAACACATGAAGGACAAGGTAAGTGGGATTGCTCACCATGGATTTATGAAGAGGAAGCCGTGCTTGACCAACAGATATTACTTACCTCTATCAAGGCCTTTGAAACTGCTGCCATCATATACTCATGGGCAGGCTGACAAAGTACCAAATAGATCAGTCGGTGAGGCAGGCTGCAAACTGGCTGAACTGCTGGGTTCAAAGAGTTATAACAAGCACAAAGTTCAACTGGAGGCACTCACTAGTGGCATACCCTGAACTCAGTAATGGGACAAATGCTGTTTACTTCCTACTCTGCTGACCTAAACAATAGGACAGCATATATACAGAAAACAAACTTTATCACTAATTAAAAATAAGAGCATCTCAGATGGGCCCTAAAACCAATCCAACTCCTCGAAGGCCTGGCTGGGGAGGAAACAGCCTGCACCTCATGCTTGGTTATCAACAACCCGTTCTCCCAGAGGTGCTCATAGCTTAAGGGGACTAAGTTATCACTGTACAAGCATCAAAGTACCAGAGTATCAGAGATACTGGACTGTCAGTGCAGGTTCCAAGGGAAAAAAAAAAACTTCACACTAGACCTTTTACCTGCTTCACTAAAACAATACCACATGAAAACTTTGGTCAGTAGGGCTTTAAAGTACTAAGACAAAGAAGATCTACTTCTATTACTTGCTAAGAAACACAGGCAGTATTTACCAGTACTTAGTTTAATTGAGTTAAATAATTCAACCATTGTGTATCATATTCTGTGTATGCATACAAACTAAGAACTGACCCACATGCAAAACTTTAGAATCCAAATGCAAGCAAAAGAGCTCCAGAGATGCATTCATCTCCAGTGCAGGTTATTGACACTCTTTGTGAAGGCAACTGCAAAGCAGCTCGTTAAAACAGACACAATTTATAGTCCATGCTCAGCTACAACAACTTCAGCCTACAATAACAGGCTGGTTGAAAACTCCAGTGCTGCAAGCACTGCTGTCCAATCACTTCCAGGAGAGCTGAGCCACCTCTTTCAGAAATCAGGGACACAGAAGAATAAAATAAGACAGTACATAACTACTAATTTCTCATTCTCTTTGACCTGGTTTTGGCTGGGATAGTTTGTTTTCTTCCTACAGGCTGCAAAGGTGCTGTGTTTTGGATTTAGGACAGGAATAATGCTGATAACACATCAATGTTTAGTTGTTGATAAGTGTTTACACCAAATCAGGGGCTTATTCACTCCTAACATTTAACAGTCTAACATCAGTCCCAAAAATCTTTCTGAAAAGTACAGGATATTTCAAAAGAGAAATTATACTCCATTTTGACTTTTAATAGGACATCAGCAACTATAGTCCCAGAAACATGCTTTTTGCTCATGTTGTATTACCTGGATGTGGACAGCTTCAGAGCTTGTAAACATCTGTTCATACGTACACATAGGAGACAAAACCTACCTCAACCAAACCTTTCCCACCTCAGCATGCTTCAGTGCAGGGCTAGAAAGACAGGCAGAATTCTCCCTGCAGCTGACAGGTCTGCTGCTCTGGCCTGGTAACAGATCCCAGAACTGAATGTGAGCCTTCAGTGCCAATTCTTCCCTACTTCAAGAAGTAAGGAACACAAGAGGCATGAGTAGAATTGCTGAACAGTACAGGAAGGGTAGAGGACAGGGATAGACTGAACAACCAGAATAGTCATTGGTAGAAAAGCCAATGTAGGACAAGTAGCTAAAAACAGAAAAAGGGAACAGAGAAGGTTATGGCAGACAAAGGGCGAGTACAAGAATGTAAAGCAATGTTAAAAACACTCTTGGGCACTGAACTTGTCTTTTAATTACTAAAATACAAACCTCTTCAAAGTGGGGTTCCAAATAGATCATACTAAAGCTATACAACATCACTGGAGCACATTTCAGGCAACATCAAAAAAGTAGTTTAATTTTAGAATTTACACTCAGTATTCTCAGTTAAAGCACTATTCAGCACCTGAAATCAGGCACAGGAAGCTGAAGCCTCTCTAAGTTAGCTGGCAAAGGGTAGCTAGAATTCAGCTCTTAATCCCTTGTTTGCTATGAAAAAAATGGTGCCACCACAGATTTGCCAGCATTCACACAAGTCTACAGTGAATAGAAAAGAGAATGTTGAACCACTGTTACACGCGTGCAGTCTGCAAACAAGCTTCATTATTCTCTCCTTATCCTGAAGCTAAGATGGGGTCAATTGTGTGCAAATACTACTGCAATACTGGGAAGCAGCCACTCTGCAGAGTAGCAGTAAAATAAGTCCCTACAATAAGCAAAAATCCTTATTTGATCTGCTCACAAAGAACACTGACACCAACCAACAAGTCCAGCTAATTATTTGGGAGCAAATCTCAAACCAGCTCAGTTTTCTAACTAGAATCCAAGAGAATACCCAGGGCAATATTCTGACCTGGGATACTGAAGATGCTCCTAGATCTACGTAATAGCACAGTCCTGTCAGTTTGACTTCTGTTTCACTTCAGTTGAAAGTTAGATATTACATTCAAGACTGCCTCAGATTAATAATTTCTTACCAAAAGTTTAATTCAAAAGTAAATCAAAATGCTGAAGGGTAAAGAAGAGTGCCTAAATCCAAGGCAACATCCCAAATCTATATACATATTTTATAATTACTATCACCAGCATACTAATTCTGAACTACTATACTGAGAGCTGTAGTACTGTACAGCCACCCTCACCCACCTTCTGCAGAACTTACTTAGGCAGAAGGAATGCTGCTTACTATAAACACCTCGCTGATCTTCAAGGGAAGACAACTTACTAGCTGCCATGCAGGAAACAAGCCAGGCTCTTTCTTAATGATTAATAGATCCATTGCCTCTCCTTTGAACCATCTCTTCAATAACTGTTTAACCAGAAAAGTAAAAAAATAAGTGCAGAAAATAGGTAAATGGACTGTCAAACTCTACCACTTCACTTCTGTCATTTTGTTGCTTTGAGTTTAGCTCTTCCTGAGGACTAACAGATTTTCTGCAAATTCCTTCCGAGCAGAATTAATGAAATTTTTTTTTTCAATGTTTTTGAATGTCTGTTTTTATTTCAATTATTAACTTCATGTCACCATAACACAGCTTTTAGGAATGAAACTAATTACCCAGTTGACTGCAGCTACCAGCACACAGCCTAAACAGTCCAGGCTTCCAGAACTACTTGGTGCTTATGCCACAGCCATCAGGGCATGCTCTTGAGCAGCAGTCTACTGTACACTCACATGGTGATGGGGAAGCTACAGATCCCCTGTGACTTCTAACACCCTCACACCACCTCTTTCTTTCAAAGAACTACAACACTCACTTACTGAGGACTATCCAATATATCAGTTAAACCCCACGATCAGCACCACTGTGGTGAAATATAAAGCTCTAGATACACAGATTTCCTGTGTTACAGAGGTATTTTCAACTGTTCTCCAGTCCAGCTAGCTCAACATAACTCAAAGCTCTATCAAAGCACAAGTTGACACGCTTGAGCTTCTACCATATTAAGTTACTTAACAGAGTAAAGTTATCTGGAAGAATCCCTGCCTTCTCACCATCACACCATTCCCTGCAGCTTGTACTTACTAGCTTATTATTTTACACCAGGAACCAGATGCAAGGCATTCAGAACAGCACAGCCATTTACTCACCTACAGTAATTTCAATACACTGTGGCCTTTTATTTGGTTTTTAAACAAGCTTACAACTGAAAGCAGAAGAGTTAAGATGTTAAGGTAACGTTACTAACACCCACAGAACGGAGGCATCTTTTGAAGAGACAGGTGGTTATATTGCACACCCTCAGAAGGGAGAAAGAATTTGCACTCAGCTTCATCTCACAAGCAAAATTAAGTTCACAGAAGAGCAGGTACCAGGCTTCTCATCCCAAGCTCCACGCCGCAAAGAACAGCTTCCAGAAGGAAGGCTGAGGTTGTCCTGACAGCTCAGTGCAGCGTTCGGGCAGCAAATCAATTGCAGATGGAAAATTTAGGAAGTCGTTCAGAACTAAAGACAATTGCGGAGCACAGCTTCACTTAAGCAACCCGTAGCGAGCGTGCTGGGAGGGAAGAGGATGAGGAACAGCTGTGCAAAGTTGGGTTTCAGCAGCCTCGGGGGGAGGCAAGCCGCCCAAGGAGCGACCTCCGCGCAGGCAAACAGCTGAAACGGTACTCGGAAGAAGTATCTGACGGCAGCGCCGCCGGAACCGGCGCTGGGGAGCGGGAGGGTCGGCGGGAGCGAACGGAGGGAGCGGGCAGCGTGCGAAGCGCGGCACGCGCAGGGATTACATCACGGGGAAAGCAGCTCCAAGCGGGGCGTCCCGCTCCGGCCTCCGAGGGCGAGGCTGAGCAGAGGGGGGTCGCGCGGGGCTCCGCTCAGGCTGACCCAGGCGGAGCGGCGGAGGAGGGAGAAACGCGGCGGCGGGCGGGAAGCGGCGGGCCGGCGAGGCCTGGGCCGGCGGAGCGCGCCCGCGGCACAGGAAGGGAGGCGGCGGGGCGGGCCGCGGAGGGAAGGGCTCCGGGAACGAGCCCGCCGCGCGGGAGGCCGACGCCCGAGGGGTCCCCGGCACGACCTCCACTTACCTCCCGCGCGGAGCGGCCGCGGCCTCGGCTGCTGGGAGCGGCGCCGAACCCAGGCCGTCCCTCCGCCGGACGCCGCTGCCCGCGGGTGGGGAGGCGGAGGCCGAGCGAGGCCCAACCCCGCGCGGCCAGCGCACGGCCCCGCCTCCGCGCCGCCATTGGTCCAACCGTGGCCACACGGGAGGCTCCGCCCCCAGCGGGACGCTCGGCGACCAATCCGTACGCTCTCCTGTCGACCCTAAGAAAGGGCGTGGCGACTCCCCCATTGGCTGCGAGTTATCCCACGCCTTCTGTCGCCCATTGGCTCGCGCCGCTTGCAATCTTGTCCCCTCGGCCCTTTGATTGGTCCGTTCTAAGGCCGGGGGAGACCATCGCGGGACTGCTCCTCGCGCTCAGCAGACACTGAAAAAGACGGGATTGGTTGCTGGAGAGTTCTGCCGCTTCTCATTGGCCGCCGCGCGGCGGCCGCTCAGGGCTCGCGCGCTGCGCTCCAGTGACGTTGAGGTGACGACGCAGCGAGCGGCCTGGCCTGCTTCCCAAGATGGCGGCGCGCAGAGCGCGGGGGCCGCGCTGTCGTTAGAGGCCCGGCGCTCCACACCGCTCCGCTGCTCCGCGCGAGGCCTGTGAGTCCGCGGGGCGCGGGCAGCTTCTCCTGGGCGTACGGCGGGCGGGTGTCCGGCCCTGAGGCACGGAGCGGGGAAGCGGCGGCACCGGGAGCCTCTGCGAGCGGGGGAGGTGGGACGGAACCGGGTGCGAAGGCCGCTTCATGAGGGAAGTGCGAGGGAGCCGCGATCGGAGGCCCGAGGGCTTCTTGGGGCTGGCGGGGCGGCCGGGAGCGCCGTGTGGCCGTTCGCTGTGAAGGTTCTCGGGCTGCGGGGCTGTGCAGGCGGAAGTGCTGTGAGAGGAACGGGCCCGGCTGGTTAAAAAGCTCGTTAAAGTCGCGGCCGAGCGCGAGGAGGAGGAACCGTAACGGCTGTTAATGAGGGGGAGCCGGAGAGAGCTGTGAGCGGCTGCGGGCTGTGTGTGACAGGGCTGTCAGTGGCACGGGGAGACCTGAAGGCCCTGCAGGGCAGCACGAGGTTCTTTCCTTCCTTCTGACAGAGAAACTTGCCGAGATGAAGGGAGGCAGGTTATTGCTTTGTTTGTTTTTCTTTTTCTCTTTCTGGCTGTTCGTTTGTCCTGCCATCCGTTTTCGCAGTGGAAACATCTGGAAAATCAAACTTCATCAGATTTGAGCAGGCGTACACCTGGGTCTTCCTCTGACCGTTTTGCTTGGTGGAAATCTGTTGCATCACATTGTAATGGGCATTTGTTAGTGGAAGCTTTGCCAGCGTGCATGGCAATTTGGGCACAGTATCTGTAGTTTATTGAGTTATAGTAGAAATAGACTCGTGCCCAGAAGAAACAAAGGCACCGTTGTAAACTCCCTCTGTAAACTGTGGAAGGGTTGAGCAGCACTCACAACTCTGACACCAGAAAGCTCTCTGCAGAGCTTTAGTGCTGTTTGTATGGATACATGTAATGCTGGTCAACGTGCTCTGACTGTAATCTGCTGCCTTATTTTGGTGTGATTTTAGGTGGCACCTTACCATACAGACCTATCTCAGTTGTCTTGATCTTCATATGTGAAAGGACATTAATCTCTACTGTACTGTTTTTTTTTTTTTTTTCTTAAGTAATTCAAGTGCAGATCACTTCACAAAGGTTTTAGCCAAGTGTTGCCATCCTGGTCATGTTTTCAAGAGACCCACTGGGTGTTAAAATTGCCTTTCAGGATGACCTAACATACGTGTCCTGGTTATGAAGAGTGATCTGATTTCATCTCCCTCCCTCAGCTGTTCAAATCTTGCTGCTGCCATCACTAAATTGTTTTTTCTTATTTTGTGGACAAAATAGATTAAAGTTGTTCTACAGAAAAGTAGCAGGTACTTCTGATAAAAGGTTGTTGAAGTTTCTCTATCAAAGAATAGCAAAAATAATCATGTATATGTCTAGTCTTTGAATTGCATTTACAATATACAGGGAAGATGAGAGCATGGTTAAACATTACTCATCTTTGAGCATGGGAAAAGAGTCCCCTCCATTTTAAAATAAGTTCTTTTTGCTTTTCTTAAAGGTTCTGAAGCTCCTAACCAGAAACTTTTCTGAAAACTTACCAAGCAAGAACAGTTCTGTTTTAATAAATGAAGGAGAATAAAGAAAATTCCAGCCCTTCTGTAAACTTGGCAAATCTGGACCATACAAAGCCATGCTGGTACTGGGATAAGAAGGATTTGGCACATACACCTTCACAGCTTGAAGGGCTTGATCCAGCCACCGAGGCACGGTACCGCAGGGAAGGTGCCAGGTTCATATTTGATGTGGGAACACGTCTAGGGCTGTATCCTTTAAACTCCTGATAGAGAGAAATGTGTCGATGAATGGGGGTTGGAAGAATTACATATTGCAGAATATGTGTGGTTAGCTGTTCAAATGTTTCTTCATCATGATTCAAAAATCTTTTTGAGTGCTGCTTCATAGTTTTAGCCATTCGTTGGGTAATTGAGGTGTTTTCTGATCCCCTTTGGCAATAGAGAAGCAAAAGAGTACAGTCTTGTCAATTACGGATATTCTGGCAGTTACCAGATGTGGTCTCTTACAACACAAATTACATGAGTCCTCAAATTTTGAATTTTGTGTTCATTTTTCTACATATTTTAACTTTGGAGATTCTAACCTGTGATCCACCTCCCCCTGCTTTTTCTTTCTTATAGGTTGGGCTCTACAACTTTGTATATGTTGGTAATTTCTCCCCATTGTCTCACCTCATGGATACCATTTAAACTTTTTGTTTCCTATATTCCTGTTACTTCTTCTAATCCCGTGAGTTCTTTGTTTAATAAATCTTGAAGATAGAATTTTGCATTTATTCTGACAGGGAAGATAGGGAGTGTGTTCAGATTGAAGCTGTTATTTGTAGGTATGAATATTTAGTAACTATTTTCTGCAGTAACAGTTTCATGTGAAGTGATACTCATGCAAAGTGATACTTTTGCTCCTGTTTGTACCTACCCTCTGCTTTTGAGCTTTTTGAGGCTGGTAGTGCTTATCATGCATGGATGTGATATGGATTTTTCTTACTCCCAGTAAATGCTTTAGGTATTGGCTGCATCTGGACTGAATTTGCACAGTCCTAAGAGGGTTGTGGCTTCTGTTTTTTCCTTTAATTGCAGTGTTTTTCAGCCAGTCACTGAATGGACAGTTTCTAGAGATACTTGATATATCAGAATGTATCTTTTCCATTAGGTATGTGTGGTTTTAAATTTGTTCTGTGACTTGCTTGAAGTTCCTTATCCTGCACCACAGACACTATGATACTCTAGCAACTGGAATAATTTATTTCCATCGGTTTTATATGTTCCATTCCTTCAAACAGTTCCCAAGATATGTAAGTATTTACCATACTGATTACCTAATGCTATGATGATGTGAAGGATAGGCTATCCAAAATGACTACAAGTTAAGGGTATTGCTGCTTGCCACAACTCTTGATGATTAAAAATGAACTTCTTATCTCTTAATCAACACAACTCCTGTTTGTTCACACATTTTTATGGTTGGAAATGTGTTTGTGTTGGTAACGTCTTGCTGATGCTTTTCTGTCACAGCTGATACAAGACAAATTCTAGTTAGGGTCTCTAACCAAGAAATAAAGTTCTATAAAATGGTCAGTCCTCCAAATTCTGTCCTTTTCTTTGAGACTGAAAAGCTTAAATTAACACTACAGTAATATTAGAAGTCAATGTGCTTGTTAAATCTTTTCTGGGAAACTTCTACAGATCTGTTAATGGAAACTGACAGTGCTTTAATAATGTTGTACTGTACTGACTCTGCAGACAACTCTTTGAAAGCACTTTTATTTTTTAGGTGACAGGAGCCTGCTGTCTCTTCCTGGCAGGGAAAGTTGAAGAAACACCTAAGAAATGTAAAGATATAATTAAAACAGCCCGTAGCTTGCTAAATGATGTACAGTTTGGCCAATTTGGAGATGATCCAAAGGTAAAAAAAAAAAAATACTCACATTGAAATCATTTTCATCCTATTGTACCCAGCAACACAACATGCCTTAAAACACTGGTTTTCAGCTGTTGCAAATTTCACGTTGAACATGCATTTGTGTCTCTTTTGGGTAACATAGTAGGAATTATGAAAATAATTCTTGCTAATAGAGATAGTTCTTGCTAATACAACTGAAGACTACTGCAGTAAATGTTTATATAAAAAGCTTATATTTGATTTCACGTGAGCTCTGATGTTATTTTGCAATTTAAAATAAATCTGGATTCATTGTGGTCAGAGCTAGAAATGCTGTCAGGACATAAATCACACTGGGCTTAACATGACTGTAGGAAAGAACCAATTGCAAATCTCAAATCAAGTAAGAGAGCATCATCTCAAATGTTTTAAGGTTCCTGTTTATAATACTTAGCTTACCAAAACTAAGCTTCTCTCAAAATTGTTGCTAATTGTTTATTTTAAATGCAAGACAGATCTAAAACTAGAGAGATAGGGTGGAAGCTTACCTTTCTGTTTTATATATTGGACAGTTTTATGCTATATCTACTTCAGTTCTTTGTTGCATGTAGGAAAAGGAATTTAAAACACAACTGCCCCAAATAACTGAAGAAAAAGTATCTAGATTTAAAGGAGTGATTAAGTTGGAAAGGTTTCTGTTCTCCTTGGAGACAAACCCTAATCAAGCAAAAGTAGGCAAACATGTTTGCACAGAGATGCTCTGTAGTCATACTTCATACCAGTATAAAATATCTGTGAGTAAAAAAAGGTCTAATATTATGGTTTCCTTGTTGTGTGTTGTAGGAAGAAGTGATGGTCCTTGAAAGAATCTTACTACAAACAATAAAGTTTGATTTGCAAGTGGAACATCCATACCAGTTCCTTCTCAAGTATGCTAAACAACTCAAAGGTAAAATGCTACAGGGTGAGCGAGTGCTGCCTGTCCTTAATTTATGACATTTTATTTACATTGATAGTGCAGGTGTGTTCTTCTCCAAATTGTTTGCTTTTCTGATAACTTTATTTCTTTTATTTCTTCTGATTGTTTTTCAGGAGACAAAAATAAAATTCAGAAGCTGGTTCAAATGGCATGGACGTTTGTCAATGACAGGTGAGATGGTACTGGGAAATGCTTTGGAAGTTAAATGGTTACTGTTGCTTACTCTATTCTGTGTTGAGATATTTCTTTGATATTTCTTTGCCTATTATGTGTTTTCTGCTCATAATGAGGACAGCTGAGTTATTTTTTGATCTAGTTTTTTTTTTTGCTTTTTATCTTTACCATGGTATTTCCATTGAGCAGAGGA